CACTGAATGAATACGGTACACGTTTTTTCATCCGTAAGACTAGAAGTCGTGGCTACATCTGAACAAGTTTTACCGTAACTCTCTCTGTCGACCTGGACGTAGTCTAAATGCTCCTGCTGTGCTTTTGTGCAGCCATCCTTCATGTGCTCTGGGATGTTTGCGGCCCGTAGAAGCTTATTCGTGTTCTGTTGACTAGTTAAGCATAGATCGGTCATGGGTTTCCCGATAACAACTTTCGGACATAACCGATGCCAAAAGTCTACCAACTTGCTGTAACTAACTTCTCGCATTTTATCTTCCTAAAACGCGAGATATTACAGTAAAAAGCCATCCATCTAACACTTAGTAAGCGAAAGATTATTAACAACTGATCAAAAGAGAAATCTAACAGTGTGTGAGATACTAACTCAACAATCGAAAAAAAGGGAAAGCTAAGAGTGGGTGAGATACTAACATCACAATCGATAAAATAAGAAAGCTGACGGTGCGCGAGATGCTAACTCAACAATCGAAAAAAAGAGAAAGCTAAGAGTGGGTGAGATACTAACATCACAATCGATAAAATTAGAAAGCTGACAGTGCGCGAGATGTTAACGTGACAATAGATAAAATGAAAAAATTAACAGTGCGTAAGATACCAACCTAACAATCGATAAAAAGAGAAAGGTAACTGCGCGAGACACTTACCTAGCTTTACCTAACAATCGCAAAAAAGAGAAAGCTAATAGTGCGCGGATACTTACCTAACAATCGATAAAAAGAGAAAGCTAACAGTGCGCGCGATGCTAACCTAACAATCGATAGACAGAGAAAGTTAACAGCGCGCGATACTTACCTAACAATCGATAAAAAGAAAACGCTAACAGTGCGCGAGATACTAACCTAACAATCAATAAAAAGGGAAAGCTGACAGTGCGCGAGATGCTAACCTTGCAATCGATCAAAAGAGAAAGCTGACCGTGCGCGAGATGCTAACGTAACAATCGACATAATGGGAACGCTGACAGTGCGCGAGACGCTAACATTACAATCGATCAGTAAGAGAAAGCTGACTGTGCGCAAGATACTAACCTAACAACTGATAAAATGAGAGAGCTGACAGTGCACGAGATGCTTACTTAACAATCGCAAAAAAAGAGAAACGTAACAGTGCGCAAGAAACTAACATAACAACCGATGAAATAGGAAACTGAGCTGACAGTGCGCGAGATCCTAACGAAACATTCGATACAAAGAAAAAGCTGACCGTGCGCGAGACACTAACCTTACAATCGATAATAAGAAAAAGGTAACAGAGCATGAGATATTAACCTCACAATCGATTAAAAGAGAAAGATAACAGTGGGCGAGATGCTAACCTAACAATTGCAAGAAAGAGAAAGGTAACAGTGGGTGAGATACAAACCTAACAATCGATAAAAGGAGAAAGCTGACAGTGCAAAAGATACTAACCAAACAATTGCAAAAAAGGGAAAGCTTACAGTGCGCGAGATACTTTCGTAACAATCGATAAAAAGAGAAAGCTGACAGTGCACGAGATACTAACTAAACAATTGCGAAAAAGAGAAAGCTTACAGTGCGCGAGATACTAACCAAACAATCGATAAAAAGAGAAAGCTGACAGTGCACGAGATACTAACTAAACAATTGCGAAAAAGAGAAAGGTTACAGCGCGCAAGACACTTACGGAACAATCTATCGAAAGAGAAAGCTATCAATCTACGCGACATTTAAGTCACAATCGTTATCTCTCTATGAAAAATTGTGTTTGTTTTGATCATTTGTCTTGTTCTCTGATATGGCAGAGAACAAGACAAATGTTCATGTCAAACCATCTATACTTTTTATAGACCCATTTCAGATGTGACGTCATGACACGTGATCTCGCGAACTGGAGGACAACTTCAAGTTTGTTTACAAATGGCGGCACGAGGCACTACAAAGCGAGGGTTTTTACCCGGGTATTTCGAGGGCTTGCAGTTGAAAGACGCTAAGGAAAGGTATTTAGAGAAGTTGAAAGATATTGAAGGAGAAGATCCTTACAAAATTCCGCGAAACGAGTGGATAGATGATGTAGATTCTTGGCCGAACGTGACATACATACACGTTGGAATGTATCTCCTGTTTAAGAAAAGTCCTTACACTGAAGATCAACTAATGAACTACAAGAGCTTGGATTGCTATCAAAATGCTATCAAAAGAATACTTAACAATGAAATGTCAGTTGTTTTTGGCTGCATGTTTCATCTCCTATTAAAATTTTTAGTTTTCACATGTAGTCTTTTGCAAGACTTAAAGGTGACTTGATTCAGTGCCAGAGTATGGAACAAGGCTCAGTTGTTCAAAGGCAGAGTAGTGCTCACACAGGGTTAGATTTTAATCACAGCTTCTCTACTCTTTTCTCAAAAGCCTTACAATTTGAAAACATTTATTAGGTTTTCTGATCTGAAATAAAATTTCACACTAACCCTTGGTTATCTTAACCAAGCTTTGAACAATAAATTAGGGCCCTGAACAATATTTTACTTTATATTAACCTTTGACTGGCACATTCACATTGCATTTCAATTGAACGTGCCTTTTTGTGGCAAGCTTTCCACCTCAAGTAACAAAGTCTTGGCAACATAAGAAATTACACACAAGCCCAATTTCAGGCTTCAATGGGTGGCATTCATACATATACTTCAGGGCCCAGTTGTTCGAAGATCGATTAGTGCTAACCCAGGGTTAAATTTTAATCCAGGTTTCTATATTTCTCTGTTCAAAAGCCATTTTAAGATAATTTTCCCAATTCTTCTTAGAACATTCAATCATCAAATTGTAAACAAATGGAATTAAAGTGAATTTGATTTTAAAGCTTTCAGATCTGCAATTAAATTTCCTGGTAACTCTGGGTTATCTTAACCCGCCTTTGAACAACCCGGCCCAGATGTTTAATTTGGTTAATCTGTAACATTATTGGCTACATGTATGCTGCAATGATACACTGTTAGAGTACACTAAACGATTACTGATTTTGATCATTATTTTCAGAAACAGTGCGCATTAATTTTTTTTTTGAAAAAAAAAGTTTTATGTTTTCTGACCAGTATTTAGTGTTTCAAGTTTCTTTGTCTTTATTATAAAAAAGTTCAAAGCAGTTTACCAAAATTTTAAAAAAGGAAGTCCTAAAACATTTTAAAATACTAAGGATTGCTAAATCTTCCCCTGTTTATAGGGGTATGGTTATTGCACATATCCACCACAATTCAATGTGTGTGGAAAATAATATGCTCAGTGACAAGAGCCATTTACACTGACACTGTCCTTAACTTTAGATAAAAAAATATTGAGAATTAAATTGTTACTGCTGGCTACAAATGTTTTCTACGCGCCTCAGGCACAGCTTGCAAAAAGCCTCCAATTTCAAAGATCGCAAATGATTCTTTTTGCCACAGCAACCAAAAATGGCTGCAGCTTAGGGTGCTACTTAATTAAGTAATGAAGCATTCATTTGCTAATCATTAACCTGTTACCTCACCTGACGAAATGCTCCATACATTGGAACTCAAGACTATTTCAATAATGATCTGAAAATGAAGTAAAATGAAAAACAGCTCTGAATTTAAGAGTAAGAGTATAAGTTATAGCAATAAAAAATTGTTCATATGTTAGGTAGCTTAAGTAAGATGCATGTACAATAATTATAACTTGTGCCCTGCAATCACCTTTCTATAATAACTAACTTGGTGCTAAAATCCTTTCACTGTGATCTTATTGTGTACTTTGTAAACAGTTGTTATTGTAGTTTAAATTTCTGACTGATGATTAAAGTTTCTGGCTGATGTTAAATCTAAAAAATGCGAATCATTTGTCAATTTAAGTCAACTCAGATCAGTTCAAAACTTTCTCACTTTTTCACTTTCATGATTCCCACAGTGAAAGGTTTTCTTGAAATTCTTTGACTTACACTTGAGAAATTTTGCCCCCAACTTCCCTTCACAGGCCTTTTTAGGCATAAATACATGCTTTTGGGAAGTCACAGACAGTATGCATGAATTAAAGATTGTGAATGATGGTAACTTGGAAAAGTGATTTACTGTCTTGGAAACCTAACATCAGCATGTTGTTGTATTTCACTATGCTGTATTCTACCAATCCACCACCTTTCACATCCATAAAAGATATACCAAAGAATTCAAAACACTCGAAAACAATGAAAATGGAAGAAAAATAAATATGGGCGATTTCACTCACAAACCATCCAAAGGGAAAGGATATTCTGGGAAGGAATCTATCTACTCAGTAAACTAAACAATGTACATCACGTAATTCAAAAAAAGGGAAAGTGTCAACATCTTTCATCTTGAAGACTGAGCCAAGATGAAAACTTTACATGTATTTGAAACTTCACTTTTCTGGCCGACTTCTTTTAAAGAACTGACTTTTTGCCAATCTTGAAGAATTATATTTTTCCCTGAATTTTTCTGACCTGTGGCCATTGATATCATGACGTGGAAAGATTTCCATATAACCCCATACATTAATTATGCAATCCATTTCTTAAAGACTAAAATAATATAAAGGTTTCTTTGCAACACTCTGTGCCTAATTAATGTATGGGGTTATGTGGAAATCTTGCCAAAAATTGTTGTTGTTAATTTCATCTGCAGTCTTCAGTACGAGGGGAAATCAAAATGCAAATATAATGCAGTACCTAGGAATTAGTACATGGCGGACAGATATTATTCCATATGTTTCTTATTGCCAGTGGTCGTTCACGTACCCTGCCAACAGAATAAAACGAGGGAAGTTGAAAATCTCACACTTATAACGAGGTACAAATAAATAACAACGAGTTAAGTGTTAAAAATTACTAACCAGTTTGAAAATTTCAAACCAGTTTGAAAAATTTAAACTGGTTTAAATTTCAAACGAAAGATTAAATCTGAACCACAACAGATACTCACAAAGGTAAATGATGAGTGGGAGAAAACGGAAACTTATCGCCAACCGGTCAGTGGTGTTATCGCGGGCCATGTCTTAGCGCAACAATATGGCCGAGTCATGTGGAGTTGGAGGATCTGTTGGCTGATCTTTGAATGCCCATTTATCTAAGAGGAAATCTAATGTTTTCTTCTTTATTGTAATATGTGATACTATAGAGCTTTCGTAGAGGAAAATTTCTTTTGGTTGATCGAAGAACTTGTGAGTGATTTTGCCGCTTTTAAGGTAAGCAACTGCCTGATAAGTTGATTTTGCTTTTATTCGAACTTGAGTCGATTGTGTTGTGTCAATTCAAAGTTACGACAAATTGGCCCGCGAAAATTTCAGACAAACGACTAACGAATGACGACGAATTATTGATCGGAATTCTTTCTAGAGCTTACAAAGTTATATTTCGGGCCTTGGTGTTCAAAAAACGGTTACTCTTATGTTCATGATAATCAATTTCGAATTATGGAGGTTAGTACTTGAAATAGATTTTAGATCTCGCTTTCCCAATAACTTTAATTCGTTCATACGAATAGAAAGGCGCAGATCTGTAGAAAGATTACAGGATAAGAAAACAGGGTAGCGCAATAACCAATTCGACAATTACAACGCCACAGACCTAGATGTGAGTTGACAAGGATGCTTTCTGGTCAAAACAGATAGTTATTAAAAATGAAATCGATTAATTTTGATAGATTTCAATGAGTCTTGATTGAAGATAATTCAAATATTTCTAACAATTCTGTTGCATCCTTTTGATATCCAGGTATGTTTTGTAACCTTTTACTCTTCATGGTTAAATTGACAGGCACATTGTAAAATGCCATCGTGTGATTTGGAGGTGTGTGACATTGAAGATGCTGTGAAAAAAGATGATCTTACCCCTAATGATCGGATCACTCCAAGGGGAGCTGTTCTACCAAAGGCAAGAGTAAAATCCCCAAGGAACAACTTAAATGAATTGCCTGTGGGGGACAGTATTATACCAGGAACACAGAAGATTTATGTTAGAACTTGGGGATGCTCCCATAACAACAGTGATGGAGAATACATGGCTGGACAACTTGCTGCTTATGGGTATAAAATAACAGGTATTGTTATTCGTTCTTTCAAACGCCAACTCAAATCTGTTTTCAATGGCGACAACATACATTCCTTTAAGATTATTTGTCCCAAGTGTCGCTGTGTAAATATTCTAAAAGCTTGCTCTTGTTAGTATTAATGTAGTGTGCTGTTTGTTACCTTTTCTCTTCTTTCTTTCTACTTATTAGATTGATATTTATTATATAGTACATTATTAATATTTAATTGTAGTTTTGGGTAAGGGGTTGGTTTTCTATATTTTATGGGGTTGGTTTAGGTGGGGGAACCTAGTAGGGGACTACATGTCCTATTGTTCTCTCGCCTATAAATAAATAAATAAATGATTTTTTCACCAGATATTTGTAGATATTTGCAAATAAAAAATCTAACAAAAATAAAAAAAGAAATCTTGTGGCGTGATCATCCAACTGGGTATAGTTTTTATAGGAGAAGGCTGTTGTTAGTGACAGTGAATCACTGTATGCAACATTCATCCAATTGTTATACTCACTTTTGTTACACAATATTGTACATGAAATGTTCAAAATCAGCTCACCATACTGTATGTGTACTTTGAGCCATAATTATGTGAATCTCAACTGAATCAATCTCCTCACCTTGTTAGTGATGGCATTTTTTGTTTGTTTGTCTTTAGATGATTCTGAAGCAGCTGATCTCTGGCTACTTAACAGTTGCACAGTGAAGAACCCTTCAGAGGATAACTTCCGGAATGCCATTAAGAGGGCCCAAGAGCTTGGCAAACACTTAGTTGTAGCAGGCTGTGTACCACAAGGCCAGCCCAAACACCAGTCCATTAAAGGAATAAGTGTGATTGGGGTATGTTCACTGAAATGGTTTGAAAGCTTACTCTCTTGGCTTACAGTTTCTGGTAGTGACTCTTATAGAGAACACATTATCCCACTCTCCTAAAATTTACTGAATATTGGATTTTTTTTTTTTTTTCGCTTCAAAAGAAGGGCAAATAAGTGAAATTTATTTAGAGGAGACCGAACAGTGTATTTGTTTTTTTTATTCAATGATATGCAGTAGTTACATTTTTGTGAAGTTTCTGAATATCATGTTTTGATTATTGTATTAACTTTGGT